GGCTATACCTGAGGATATCTTGATGCAAGATATGAATGTCGCCAAGGTTGTTGTTGTGGGCGTGCCTTCTAAGAAGCTTAAACAACTTGCAAGATGAGGTAGAAAGAAGGGTAAACCAAACCAAAATAGAGCCCCTCCTTTTCTACAAAAACCCTATTTGAAAATTAGAGACCAAGACCTTATTCCTAAATGATTCAATAATCCCTAACTCTTGATGTCTTGTCTATCTTCAATCCTCGATGACCTCCCTAACTCACGACGATGAATTCTCCTAATCTCAGGTAAACGAAGTTAACCCTCCCCTTTTCTACATTTTTTCTTTGAAAATATTGCTGGAAAAATCGAGAAAATGAGCATAAAATCTTGAAAATACTCGTTTTTATTTCCTTGAGAAAAAAATAAGAGAGTCTTATAATTATTTTATTCGGATTTTTAATAATACACCCAAGCGTTAAAAACGAAAAACCTAAGAAAAATACGATTTTTTACAATATCATTTGTTTTGTTTCTTGCATGTGGCTGAGTTGGGGCTGATTGGAGCTAACTGGTTTCGTTTGAAGCTGTCGTGGAGGTCGTTCGGGCAAGGGACCTCCATTGGGTTCTATCGTGGACTAGGGAGAGCGAGGGACCATTGATACGGGCTTAGTGATGAGGTAGAGGAGGGGACCACGAGAGCAACGACGGTTGGAACTTCATCTAGCTATGGTGGTCAAAACCCTAAACACCATCCGATTCAATTTGAGTCGTTAGATCGAAGACTAGATCTAACAGTTAAAATGGATATGTTTTTCTTGGCTACTGGACATAACTATGGATAAAACCCTAATTTTATAATTGGGTTTCTAATTTGGCTGTTGGGTTGGAGCTTGTTGGATATGTAAATGGGTTTAGTGAGAGGGGGACTAGACATAACAATCTGGGCTACATAAGGCTTTAGTTGGATCTGTTGGATAAAGGGTTTTAGGTTTAATTGTAATGGGAATTTTGGGTTATAAATAAATGTTGGACATTTTTTACCTTGGGTTTGTATTTGGGCACTTAATACTAAACGTTTAGATGTATTGAACTTTGTCTGATTTACCTTTTTTTTATCAGAATGGGTAAAAGGATCCCCTCAAAACTTGAATGAAGTTTACATGGATCCCTATCATTTTAAATAGTTGAAATTTCGATGATGAAACTAAATTTTCCTTCATAAGCCCCGTAAGATTCAAAATGTAAATATCTCCAACGTTTTCCAGTGTCAGTTAGAATTCGTCGAATCACTTTGCAAATGATCCCAAAAAATAATCTCCTCACATTTAAGTCAAATTACTCGAACAAAATTATGTACTACAGAACAAGAGCAAGCATTCAAACAGCCACTCATGCATCATTTATTATTAGAGGGTTAATTTGCATAACATATCAAGTATAAGAACCTTAATGATAATAAACAAACATTCAACATTCGGAATTGTTTTTCGTGTACAAGTTTTTAGATTTACGAGTCTGAGGATGAAGGCATCTGCATGAGTTTCAACAGCACTTTATCTTGAAAAAACTAATCAAATGAGGAGTTGGAGAAAAGAGATAGGCTCCTATAAGGTGATGGGTGAAATATTTTTTTGAGATGATGTGACTGTCACAATACCACGTCGAAAGCACAATGCGTCTTCAAAAAGACAGGACGACCACAATGCATCTTTTGCTTTACTATTTTGTTAATCTTATTGTTCCAATTGCATGAAATATGGAAACGGTACCAGGTGATCCCTGTAACTTTCCCAACACTGTACAAATCATCCCATCTCAATGATCCAAACCTTTTTCCAATGCCCCATTTGATAGATTTTTCCCATTATCATAATACGATTTTGCTGGGTTTTTTTTTTTCAGATTAGGCATCATAATGAAAGAAATAAAAATTTATGATCAGAATGAAGAAAATGAAAAAAAGGGCTAAATATAAAAATTATATTACGAATTTTATTCAAAAAGAAATGTTTATGACACGAGTCAATTGACAGTGATATTGTATGTGTATAGGCAATGTCTTCAATTGCACAATAATCATATGTTAAAAAGATTTAGGCATGAGCACGAACGATGGTTTGCTCATGTTCGTTTAACTTTAACCAAACAAACAAACGAACACGAACAGCTAAACAAGTAAAATTTATTGTTCGTGTTTGTTCGTTAAGGAATGTAGCTTGTTTGTATCCATTCATGTTAGTTCGTTAAAATAATAAATGAACACAGATGAATGAACTTAAACAAACACAACTGAACGAATATAAACAAATAACCATAAAATTAATTAGGTTTATATTTGATAATAATTTTTTTTCTATATAATTTTAGGGTTTATATTTTCTTTAACGATTTGGATATTTTTTATTTGGTTTGAAAATTAATTGAATTTTAAAATATTAGTAGATTTAAAGTTAAAATTTATTAGTTCATAATACTTTAAACGAGTTTGGAGATTATATTGAATATAAACGAATGAATACAAACAAACAAAAATGAACAAATATAAATGAATAGATTATCGAACGTTCACGAACGTAAATGAGCAAATGAGTCATTTGTTCGTGTTTGTTCATTTAATTAAACGAACATAAAATCTTTTTATGTCCGTTCATTTAATAAATAAATTAACATAAACGAACTTATTGCCGAACGATTTAAGAACGGTTGGCTGAAGGTTTGATTCATTTATAGACCTAAAAGGACTATACTTAAACAACTGAAAAAATTAATATCGAAACAATCTGAGATTCAAGGAATGTGTTATAATTTTTTAGGCCTAATGATCGACCAAAATGAACCAAGAGAGGGTGAATTAGCCCTTAAAAATATTGGGTATGAAGGAAAGAAAGATAGACAATTTGCACAAACATTTAAAGTGGTTCAACTTCCTAAATGAAGTCTACATCCAATACCTTAGTTCCACACTAAGGATTTTTAACAAATTCACTAACTTGTTTTTTCTTTTCCTAGGCTCAAGATTAACCTTTACAATTTCCTAATTTTTCAAGCCTAAATTAGAATCACTCCCCTTTTTACAAAAGGATAAAACAAGTAAACAAGAAAACCTCACAATGTAGGTGTTAACAAATATAAACTCACAAGAAAAATATTCAAAAGATTTGCAATGAGCTCAAACACTTATGTACAAGAGAAAAAGGAAAATAAAGAGTATCATTTACAATTCCTTAGTTTTCAAGGCTAAACTAGAATCACTTTTTTTTACAAAAGGATAAAAGAAGTAAACAAGAAAACATAACAAGGTAGATGTTTACAAATTTAAGCTCACAAGAAAAACAATCAAAAGATTTGCAATGAGCTCAAACATTTATGTATAAGAGAAAAGGAAAAATAAAGAGTGAAAGAACTTTTCTCTTGATCTTTATTGCTTGGATAGGTGTTGTAACCTTCTTCAAGTGTCATTGATTTGTTATTATAAGTTGGAATGTATTTGTGGTCGTTTCTACTGTTGGGGATGATTTGGAGCCGTTGGGGAATTAATTTCTGCAAAAACAAAGAGTCCAACACAGGGAGTATCGGTATTGTATAAGGGAGTATCAGTACTTCCTTTATAATTATTAAATACACTAGATGTTAGTAATTGTTGGGCTTGACCAGTATCGTTATTAAGATTTCACAGTATCGATACCACTAAGTAAAGTAGCATCAGTACTCCTAGAGTATTGATACCAATTTTGCATTCTATAATTTGAACACTTTGGAAAACAATAGGTAGTATTGGTACTACCATGGGAGAGTCGATACTTCTTTTAACTTCAGTATCAACACTGGAAGAACAATATTAGTATTATTCATGTGGTATTGATATTGTAAAAAGGGTGTTGATATTGCTTACCTAGGAAACTATTTTGTGTTCAAATTCTTATTTAATAGACTTTGAATTATTTTTGAAATGAATAAATTCAAGTAAGTCCAAAAACATTTTTCATTAATTTGTTATATCAAAATACATGGTCCGTTACCAAATTTGTTAATTTTGAAAAGTCAAACATATCATGAACTTTGATAATTACCAATGCGATAGGTAAAGTCAAAAACATATCCAAGATTTCCTTTAATTATCGCATTCACATGAGTTTGATCAAAGGTCAGGACATGTCTTTGACAACTCCAAACTAGGAACATTGGTCTTATATATATATATATATATATAAATATAAAAAAGCTAGTGACATTGGCCATGAGATACTTTGAATCTCATATTATTTAGATATTTATTTTTTAAGTGTTTAAATATAATATATTTTTTAATTTAAACATACACTTATTAAGTGATTGAAGATAAATTATACATATATGATTTAAGGTTTAGTGTGTGTGTTTTTTTTATAAACGTCGATTGGCTTAACTTCTTCTATAAACGCGTGTCTTCGACACATGGTATTTCTCCTTTCTGGATAAACTCGTAACAATTTTTATTTTAATTTATTTTCACCACGTGATTGATGAAAACATTTATTCTATTAAAATAATAAAATTAATTAAGAAAATTTCTCCATTCAATTGATGATATGGTTCACTGGTAAAATGCATCACAATAATGTTATATGTTATACCTCTTAATTGAAAAGATTATTTTTTAAAATTAAATTAAAATTAGAGAAAATTTGATAAAATATATAAATAATAAAAATTAAATGAATAATTATATTAATTTTATTAACAGTCATGTTAACACTCATCAAACATAAGTGACTTAATTAAAAATAATAAAATAGTCAAATAATTTGATTAATAAAATAGTCAAAATAAATAAATACAACCAAAAAAAACTAAATTTTCAAAAATCAAATTTACGAGATAGCATTTCCTCAGCCAATGAAAACCATTTTACTAGAAACATGTGTTGAAATGTCGACTGAAAATAAAATTCCTAAATAAACCAACATATCATTCGGATGGAATTACACCCAACAATGTTAAACATAACATAGCTATCTTGTTCCACAAACAACCAACATAATACAAATACACCAACTGTTAGCCCTAAACGCTACTAGCATAACATAACAGAACGCATTGCCATTAGCAGCAGCAAAAATGAACCACAAAATAACTTAAATCCCAAAATTTTAATCAACTCTAAAGCAGTTTCAGTTAGGATTTAAGGACAGTATTCAAGATAAGAGAGCTCACAATTCCATCTCAAGATAAGAAATAAAACGGGTTGAACAGATAATCAACACTGGAAATATCCTAGTTTACTGTCTAAACTATGCTCGGGAAAGCTAGCCTCAGAATTTAAGTTTCAACGGTGATCTCTTGTCATATAATTTGTGTATCCAACACCTACCCCTTCTGTTCATGTACGACTCTCACTAGTCTCACTCGGTGAGGTTAATCATATAGCTTATCCTAGACAGGCATGGCTCATAATGCTTCCTTGAGATGGAACCTCCTTGCTATATCCCTTGCATTGTCGAATTCATTTAGCTCAACCAATATTTTCTTCAACCGACGCGCTAGTCCACCTGCCTCACCTTCACTCACACCTGATGTATGCCTTCTCTCCAACGCTTTTCCTAATGACAACACACAATCCACCAGTGGTTGCAACTTGACACTGCACATTCAAGAGGAAAAAATAATGAGACAGGAGCCAGGAAGCCTTTTATGTTATACCAACGCACATATAACTTCTAAAGATTGAATGGAAGTTGCATGGATGTTTGCATTACAAGAGTATGCATAAATTTGAAAAGTGGAGAGTAAAATAATGTTCATAGACATAGAATGAGGGAACAAAATATAGACCAAACAGAAAATAACCCAGAGGGGAAGTGACTGGGGATTACAGGAGCTAAAAATTACTCAGTTCAATAGCATGCACATATGATCATAGTTGATTAAAGCAGGTAAGGAGACAGCATTCAACGGAATTTATGAACCTGGGTAATCCACTAGGTATAAACCAATAGTACCTGGAATCTCGTGAGACATTTGTGCCTGTCCACAACCCAGATAAAGAAGCTACAATACGTTCTGTTCTTGTGACAGCATCATGAACATCTGAAGTAATGCATCGAATATGAGGTAAGATTTTTCCACACAAAAGTTCATCGAGGGCAAGCTTCTCTAAAACTGGCAATGCCAGAATATCCTTCCACAAGCAGATATTTCTCATCAACCGAACAGACATCCCAAACCGATATGCAGTAACTCGTGCAGCATTTGGCACAACCTTCATCACAAGTGGGGTCCATGTTGGAACCTGTGAAGTAAAGATCAAAGAATAACAATAAAAAAAATAGTTATGAGTTAACATGTCCATAGTCACTTATATGACACACGGAAGCACAGATGCCTCTCGGCCTATGTGCACACACAGAAGAAGATAGATTGATATTGATATATAAATGTGTCTGCTGCTGTTGAAAGTGTGTATGTATAGAGAGAATAAATACCATAATATCAGTGACAGCCTCTTTAAGACGAGTGCGGATAGTAACCAATAATTCTGCTAATGCCTCACTAGAAGCGGGAACATAATCTATAATCAAACTTGTGGCAGAAACAGCATTCTTCGTTTCTTGTGAGCTAAGCATGTCCCAGCAATAGGAAATTTCATGATGCAATACTGGAAGTGCAATCTTTTCCACTAGTGCAGGAACTAGGTTAGCATCAGCATCATCAGATGCAAAATTTCCATCTTCAGGAAAACCATAATTGAATAGCAAATTATGCCTGCAAAAGTGAAATCATTTCTTAGTGAAAATAATAATTGAAACAGATACAAATAACAATTAACATTTTTTTGTTAATTCAAGCATGCACCTCAATTTGCACCAATCACAGTAAACAAAGATAGCCAAGCACATATCAAAAGATTCAAAACAAGCTATTTTAGTTTAAATTAGCAACACAAAGTTCTTTCTTTCTTCCTTTCTTTCATTTTTTTGGGTACCTCTCAGAAAGGCACAATAGAACTTCAGTTTAGAACCCTTACCATTTCATATCAGAAAAGTCTTCATCACGGTGGAGTGGATCCCACTTAAGAAGCTCAAGTCTTACATATGGAGAGAAGATAGCAGGAATACTTAATGACATGTAAGCATCACGGTAGCTCGAAGAGTAATCCTTCTTCAATTTTTCAAACTTCTGTTTAACAGCAGAAAGTTGGGAATATTCCTCAGATGCATCACTGAAAACTTGATCCGCTGTTTGAAGCAACAAGTCGCGATTTGACTGATATGCTGTACTCTCACTATCACTCTCATCAGTGCTTGATTCGCCTTCTATTTTCTGATAGGAACTGTCAATATCCATGGATGATAATCTCTTAGAATCAAATCGAGCTTTCCTGCGATGACGAGCCTCAGCCCTTCGTTCCATATCCAAACGTTTCTGCCGATTCACATCTCTACCAAATTCATCCAACTTCACCGGTAAATTAGCTTGTTCTTTAACTGCACCAGATGCAGACTGAGCTGCATTTGTGGCAACTTCAATCATTGCGGCACTACTTCCACGTTCACTGAAAACCAACATTGCTGCTTTCACAGCTGCTTCAACCTCCACAATTTCATCATCATTATCTGCAGTTCTTCTTTCAAGTACAACCAATGTACGTTTTTCATTAAGTTTTTGCATGCGCTCTTCAAGTTCCTCTATAAGAGGAGCTTTATGCTGCATAGAAAACCATAGTAAAACGTAGGCATCAATATACAAACAGGCAACTAACATGAATGCATAAAAAAGAAGCCTCAACACAACTGATAACAAGAAGTCGTTCAAAAAAAAAAATTCTTAAGGCCACATTTACATGCAAAAATGAAGTGGTATATCACAGACCATTTAGAGGCCAACCAAAGGGCATTACAATACTTCATTATGCTTGTACAGTCTTCTACCATAATTTCAAATATTTAACTTATTTTCTGGTTATGCATTCATACAGTTTAAGTGGTAGCTTATAAGTCCTTTTCGTTAATTCAGTTTCTCATAGCTGTTGATGATTGAGAACTTGATATTTGTGCTCAAATTTTCTGTTAGTCTTACAATTTTGACAAATGAAATTTCAGACTACTTATACAGTACTTATTTTAGGATCATTCATACTACAGAAAGAAATCTAGTCTAGCATAGTGTTTGTGAGCCTATGAGCAAAAATGTGTTCATTTTCGCAAGTAAAGTGCATCTTTAAATTATCCTTTAACAACTTTATTTATAATAAAAAGGTATTGCAAAGAATTAATTTCCAGATAGTAATTGAGATGGATATGAATCGAATTCAATCAAAAATGATTTTTTTCATTTTCAGTTTATGTATTCCTGCTTATTGTTTGTTGATGTTGTTGTCGTGCATTAGAGTGATTATTAAATACTTAATCACTTATAATTTATAAAAATAAAAATTAAGATATGCACGCTCCAAAAGAGACAGAGACAGAGACAGAAACAGAAACAGATATCCACTCAAGGAGTAAAATGGCAAATAGAAAAACAGGGTTTAGACTCAGATAAAGGCGTACCTGCAAAAATTCACATATAACAGAAACAAAATCACGAAGCTTTTGCATAAAGATGAACTTCTCACCAGCAGCAGACAGAGACTTTTCAAGAGCAGTGATATTGAAAAGTGAGGCTGACAGATTCTCATCAGCCTTCGTTAATGATGAAATGGTTCTGGCATGAGATTCCTGGCAAGGACATAGAAATTGATTAGGTACAAAACAATTCAAACATTTTTAACATTTATAAAAGGATCATAGTTTCTTGATATAGTGGTCTAGCTTATGAAAGAGACCTTCTACTTGAACATTTAAAAGCTCCAGACAAATCTATAAATCAATGTTTCTCCAAAAACTATTGCAGCATATCAACAAAGATTTTATTATTTCATATTCTTTATTTGGTCCAATTTTCTACTAATTTTATACGTCTAATTAACAGTTCCTGATTTAGATTTGATGAAGTTGGGTATTTTTTTCATTAAAATTTTGCAAAAATACTACTATCATTTCTGCTGCACTTCTGCACTAAGTTGCCAATCATATGAAAATTTAGATATCCTATCATTAATGATTCTCACATATCCATAGAACTATAAATACTGAAATATATCTACAAACTCCATCAGCAATGTAATGACCAGACAAAAGAATGTCCTAGTTCCCACACATCCTATCATTACATGTGTCTACAGTCTGGGTATCGGTTACTTCTAGATTTCTTATCATGTTACTTAAGAGAAATTTGTTGAGGTTAAAATGACCCACATCTCTCAAGTCTTAAGTACTTAGAGAGTCTAATCCATATTGACTCCCTGCCCAAAGAGTTTTCTCTCAAGCCAATTCAGGCTGCAATTAGGGATCACTGAAATACTTACATCTCAACTGATCAATTTACTCACATAATTTACTCGAAAGAAAAAATTATAAATAAATCTAAAGTCAGAAAAGCTAAGCGAACAACAAAAAATCAAAAGATCACCTGGAAAAAGCTTATCAAGCTATACATTTCAAAAGCATTGTACAAAAGAGATCTAATTTTTTTTCTAAAAGGATTCCTAAGCGAAGAATACTTATTAAAGAACAGAAGCACCGAAGGGAAATAGGAGTGGCTAAAAACTTCTGAGGGCATCCAACATACAGCTTCAAATTTGATTTTTCATTTAACTTCAAAAGAAAACAAAATAGTAATTTTGTAGCAGAAAAGAGGCAAAATAAGTCTGTTTATTAGCGGATAAAGAACAATATCCAAATTCATTCATCACCACAAATCTGCCATGCATTCTTGCTTTACTTTACAAGAAAAAGCTACTACTTCTCAGAAATGTTCAATAGGAACGAGGAATTTTAACCACTAAAACTCAACTAATAACCTTTGAGAAAACATATAACTTGAGCAAACTATATCCCTACAGATTAAAGACCATAATTTAGGCAACTTGATGGGACAAGTACCTCAACAGGCAAGTTTATAACTAAAAAATTAACTAATAAAGTGTAGAACAAGGACACAAAAAAGACTGAGCATTCAGCAAATAGCAGATATTAACAATAGAACCCTTGACTTGAGAGGTCATTCTGCATATGAACTTTACTCTTGTAACCAGTAGCAAAATAGTAACGTCACGCTCATTATGCATGTTGCAGATTTGAAGTTAAAACCTGAACCTTGATGTGTATAATTAATCTGTTAAGTAATTATGTAGTTGTAGAAAACCCATCAAGAAATTGATGCAATAGTTAAGCAATGAAGGTTGGAGTTCTTCCGTTCAAATCTTAACTGCCAATCGAATCTCATTTTGGAACCAAAGAGCTATTTACGAGTTTCACACATCTCATCTTCAACAAAATCCCATAGGTTTCAAGGAAATAATAAATACTCCTCGAAATAAGCCATCATCCATAAGCAGTGGAAAGCTCAATGTCAACACCACAACACTACCTAGGCATAAAATTGATAGGAACTCAAGTATACTACTATGCAATCCTGCATTCTGGTTTAAACGGGAAGTTATCAAAAGTAGATCTATCAGAAATACATTTATTTATTGTGATACTGCTAAGAAACGTGACATCATCAACTGTTAAGAAAATTATCAACATTTACCAGACGTCATGTAAATCACAAAATAATATCAGACATCTAGAAACACCTTTGATGCAAACCTACTAAGGAAACAACGATCACAGCAGCCATTCCATTAGAATGTCGCACCAATTAAGTTTCTAGATGACTAAAAATTAGAAAACAAACCAAACCAAAGAAGTTATAGTTTCTAACATACTTCCAGCTTAAGAAAGCTTGCAAAATATCAAAATCATGTTTTTAATCAAGACAATGGCACAGCCTATTTATGGAAAATGATATGCCTAGAATTGTCCCCTAACACAAGTAACTATTCTTATCACGTGTTTCCCAACTTTCTGTTAATTTACCCTTTAGATTCAGTTTAAAGCATGCTTCTCATACAAACTGTTGGCAACCACAAAATAAAAAACCTCCAACTCATGACCCACTCCTAGGTAACCATAGATTACTCTGATTTCTATTTCATACTTTCTTATTTTACAAGCATAGAACAGAAGGATACCTTCAGCCGAATCACATTCTCTTGTAAAGCCTTCCTAGCGATTTCAGCTTGTTGCGATATTGATGGAACATCTAAACCTTGAGAAGCCCCAGCTGCTCCAACAATGCTTGAAGGCAGAGCAGGCGACACATTCGGCACCACTGAACCATATGAAGCAATTGTCAAATACCCAAACCTTTTCTGGTGTTGCTGAGGCATATTATGAGCCATAGCAACTCCAGCAGTGGTACTGCTACTAATTACGACCCGATTCGAACCATCATCCAACCTCTTCCCCAATCCTTTACGGAACTGCTCTTCTTCCCACAACTTCTCTTCCTCATCGTCATTTTCCTCGTCATGGATCTCATCTTTCCTCGAAACTACACCCATTGCTCTCTCTTCAACCTCAAACACACCCTTCTTCCCACTTTCACCGAACAACAGCCCTCGGAACTCTAGTTCCTCCTCGTCACTTAACTCCTCCATGCCGCCATGATTACTCCCACCATCCAATGATATATAATCAGGAGCAGGCCTTCCAAAAGACTTCCGAGCCCTGTCCTTCTTTGCCTTGATAGAATCAATAGTTGCCTGGTCAGGAAAAACTGAAGAATCTAAATCCACTTCTTTACCAATCGCCATCGTTGCCAACCTAGACTCCGTGTCGTCTTTATCAAGTTTCTGTGTTGGGACATTCTCTTGCTGGGAGTTTGAATTTTGGGATTGGGGCTTGAGAAGGCCTTTAAGAACAATCTTAGGCTCAGATGAAACGGGGGTGGGGCGTGAAGAAGGGGCAGCAAGGGTGCGCGTGTTCTTTTGGAGCTCAAGTAGTGCTTCTTTTGTGTAAGTACCGGCTTGGGGTTGGACATTGGAAGGTAAAGAAGAAGAAGAAGGGTTTTTGCGGCCTTTCACGGTGGTAATCTTGTGCGCAGATGAGGGTTTGGGGAACCGAGAGGAAATAGGTTTCCCCCTTTCTTTATCTCTGTTCTTGTTTGAGGATGACTTGGTTGTTTCTTCCTCGTTTTCATCGTCAGCGAAACTGAGGAGTTTCGGGGGTTTCTTCGCGGCGGGTTTGGAAGATGATGGATTTTGGGTGGCGGTGGTGGGGTTATTGCTATTATCTTTTCCGCTGTCATCTTCTTCGGCATCATCGCCACGGCGGCGGAAGTTTCTGGCTCTGGTAACGCTGCTCATGGTCAAGGGAAATCGCCCGAACGCGGTCGAGGAGAATTAAAGGGTTTTTTTTTAAATTTGTCTATAGCTTCAGAGGCAATTCAAAAATCCGCTTTGAAGGGAAAAAAATTAAAGAAATTAAAGGAAAAAGGAGAGCAGGTGTTGGAAGGAGAAGCAAATCAACCGAAAGCGGCAGCCGCAGCGGCGGCGGAGCTAGAGCAGAAGAATCAAAGTTATGGTTAATAATAACGGGGTGTTCCTCGAATTTGTACACTGCAGTTAATTATAAAATGATTTATTTGTAATTGACCCTTGAACTAATCACTAATTCTAATATTGCCCCTTAATGTACCGTTACGTTTACTGCTATCACACAAATTGGTGCAGACGTTAAAAAAAAAATTAAACTGAAAATAAATAAATTATGTTTTTTAGTATTTAAATTGTTTTTTTTTATTAAAACAAGTCTATAAGTTATAAGGATCGGCACGGGGTCGGGGTGGGGGGGGGGGGGGTGGGGTCGGGTATTACTTAAACCCCACCTTGTCTCACTCTGATAAATTTTAATATTTCTCTCACTTGGATCTCGTCCTGATTTTTAGATTAAAAATTTAACCTCGATCCGATTTAAATATATTAATATTTTAAAATAATATATTTTATAAGAATTTATTTATAATTATTTAATATATTTTAAATTATTAAATTAATATATTGTATAATAATTTTTATATTTTTAATAATTAAAGAATATATTTTAATAATATAAAAATAAAAAATCCTTAAAATCTTAAATACATTATATAAATATAAAGAAAATTAATAATTTAAACCTGGTTAGATCAATTTTTTTACCTTAAACCTGACTATGACCCGTCTCGAAATTATTTGCCATATAACCCACCCCGCCCCACCTCGAACTCTAAAAAAAAAATCACCTTTATAAGGTTGGGTCGGGACCCGTCAGATTCGGACTTTTTATCACCCCTAATAAATTATGCTTTAATTTGGATTTTGGACATTTTCTTAGATGTAATTTTATGTTTGATTTAGTTTAAACTTTTGACTTAGTGATTTGTGACTTTAACTCTCTTTTTTTCTAGTTTATGAATGTCAATCATACTAAGTATAATCATGTCGAATTTTCATATGTTATGTTTTGTGTTGGTTTAGACAAATAATATAATAAAAATATGATACGTCAAACATGTTAAACTTGATAAATGGCTTTAATTGTTTAAAGTGACTAAAGAAATGCCTAAAAGTGACCTTTAAAGTCTAATTATATATTTTATTATTCTCAAAATATGATGGATTGTTAATTGAGTGCATGATTTGATTATAAATTGTTATTCTTTTTAATGTTTGAAGTATGTTTATGCATGATCAATGATTGTAACACCCTCAATCCGATCTAGAAATCAAATTTGAATCGACGATGTCGCATTGGATCATCGAAGTGGCCCTATAAATCAAAATTCAGAAAAATACAATTTACTTACAAGTCAAAATCCAATAATGCCAGTATATAAAAAATAAACATTTATGAAAGGAAGAGCTCCTTTATTTGAAAACCAAAATACTCAAATAAACAATTTATAGCATACTCAAATAAAATTATAATCTCTACATGCTCACTCAAGTCGTCATCGTTGTACTCTAGTACTCCCACTAAGACTCCTCTGATAACATCGTTGTCTCATTGTGATCCTCGAAAATTGAACATGTAGAGGTAATAATTAAAAGGGCGAGTTATTAAGCACAGTGAGTACACATCAGCCCTATTATATTTCATGAGTCTCATAAAGTCAACATGCTAACCATTTATGAACTTAAGCTATTAATCAATGATTCTCATAGTCTTATCATTATTAGTTAGGTTTGTTATACTTACCCATTATACTTACCCAAGGTCTAAAGGATACCGTGTCTTTTCTCATCAAATTACTTTACTCGTACTATCGTATTTGTGGTCTTACTAACTCTAACTTCATTATGCAGTAGGCACAATAATTATCCAATCTAGGATATTCTTTTGATTCAATGAAATATTTCCATCATATTAGTCTCATCATTATGAATTTATCCGACAATTGTCTTATCATGAATAATGTATTTAGTTCAATCATCATGGGTAAAAGATCATGCTTATAATCATTATTTACAAGTACATGAATATCATGCAAATAATCATTACCAACAAGCACATGTATCATCATGGATTATTATCAAGGGCGTCCGAAGTAAACTCTAATAGGGATCTATCTAGGTGACGAGGCCAAAGTGTTATACTAATGAGGAATCACTCCGTTATAGTGGACGAACCCGAAGGTCCAAATGCACCAAAGTGCTATAAACCCGAAGGTCCAAATGCACCAAAGTGCTACAAACCCGTAGGTCCAAACGCACTGAAGTGTCAACACCGTCACAGAGTTACTCCGCCAAGGTGAACAGTTTCGAGAGACCAAGGCGTAGTTGCTTGACCTTAAGCATGCCATTGTACCAATGAACTCTAACAAGTTTACTTGGGCAATAACAATATTAGAATGCATGCAATGCACCCACATCGGTATAATCAATCATCAATAGAAATAAACAGGAAAGCTTACCTTAAGCCTCCCTATCATCGTACATCACTGTAATAAAGAACATGTCGACTTGTCTTAAGCTTTCCCAGTATTATTCACCAAGTCATGCAACATATCAATCATTTATGCATCACATAATACATATTTTAATCGTTTATAAAGTCCATAAAACATTTCTTACCCATAGGATATTTTGGTTATTTCACCTCTAAGCCCTTTTTTCCTTTGTTAAGATTATTTCATGTAATTTACGACTTAAAGTATTTTGTTCTTTTGATCATATCATTAATTGTTTAATTATCTTGCCTTTAAGGTATCTAAGGACTTTTTCTAATTAATCCCTTTAACACTTATGGGTATTTTAAATCTTTCAGCACAGAGGGGTCTCGAATCACTGTTATACTTAAACAAATATTCTTATTCATTTATCTTGTATTATTTTAGACATATAACCAATTAAGAGATACCATATACTTACATCAGTGAGAGTAACACATAATCTCAGCACCAACTTGAACAAGTTTATACTAGTTAAATTTAACATATATTTCTAGCAGGGAACCTACCATATACTTACACTAGTTAAATTTGTCACATAATTCCCACAATAAACTCATAACAGACTTACACTTAAAGATATGGTTCCTAATCTAAAATTTGATTTCCAACCTGAAATATGGTTCCTAATCTAACATTCGATTTCCAACCTGAAATATGATTTCCAACCTAAAATTTGGTTTCCAAACTCAAATTCGATTTTCAACCTAAAATCTAGTTTCTAACCTAAAATATGGTTTTCAACCTAAATTTTTTTCCAACATGAAATCTTTTTCCAGCCTAAGATATGTTTTCCAACTTAAAATCTGTTTTCCATCTTGAAATCTGGTTTCCAACCTAAATTTTGTTTTCCAACTTGAAATATGGTTGGTAAAATCTGTTTTCCAACCTGAAATCTGGTTTCTAACTTGAAATCTATTTTCCAACCTGAAATTTGGTTTCCAACCTAAATTCTAGTTTCCAACCTAAAATATGGTTTCTAACCTAAAATCTGGTTTCCAATCTAAAATCTGTTTTCTAACCTGAAATCAGGTTTCCAACCTAAAATCCAGTTCTCAACCTAAAATATATTTTCCAACCTGGAATCTTGTTTCCAACCTAAAATATGGTTCCTAACGCATTTTTACCAATAGTGAAATCATCATATAACAAGGTAGACTAAGTATGCTCATAATAGTTCTACCTAATCAATTTATTGTCAAAGTAAGGCTTTTAGGAATTACTACCCAAACCTTAAATCGAGTATCCATGTTTGACAAACAAGGCATCGAGATTATGAAAATCATGAAACAATCCGAAGTTCAAGGGGTACTCACCTCAAGCAAGCATCCAATAGCTTCATTGAAGATCTTACACTTCTCCCTTGAAAGAATCACATTTCTCCTCTTCATTTTGATCTTCCATAAGACTCTTTGTACAAAATCAACCAAATGTCACTAAATATATTCTAGCATCCTTAAAACACTAAGATATAACATGAATAATTAGATAAGCATGAAGACTCTTACCTTTGGTCTTTAAACTCTAAGATTTACCTCTCTCATAACTTGATTTTTTTCATTTATCTTAAGAAAATATAACATTAGAGGTGGAAGAAAATCACTCATCACTCTCTATTCTATCAAAATATCTAAACCCATAAACTCTCTCACTAAAACTTTCATGGACAAACTTAGGGTTTGAATATAACTCATTCAAAATCTTCATTCTTGTATTCAACTTGAAGGAAATTAGAAGATGAACATTTTTATCTCTTACAAGAAAACATCAAATATAACTAGAAATTGAGGAAATGAAGAAAAGAGAGAGCTTATCTTGCCTTTTTCTCATGTTTTCTTAAGGAAAAAGAAGAAGATAATCTTTTCATCTTTCTTCATCTATTTATTTCTATATATAAACATATTTTTCTAACAAAATAACAACCACACAATTCATTTAGATCCAATGGTCTGAAATGAAGATGGAAAACCTGTAATACCTCAAAATTTAGATAGTGACCAAAATGGAAAGTTTAAAAGTTTGGTGACCAAAGTATAAAATTTAAAAAAATTTAGGGACCAAAATGGTAATTTTAAAAGTTGTATTTTGGGTCTCGTAAATAAATAGTTTATTTCAAGGATAATGTCTTGGTGGGAATCAGAATTTTAATCAGAGATTGGTAATAAAAGTTATAGAGCAAGGAAGTTGAGGAACAATTCGGTAAATCGGATCGAATAGAAAATTAAGGAAAATCTGAAGGATGATACCTTAGACCGAAAATATTATTTTCACATTAGTAAATGTTGGAAAATAATATAAATATTTAGATTTAAGAGTTTAATTCCATGTTTAATTTGGACCGTTGGATTTAAAGTGACAAGATTATGATTTTTGGAAAAAAGCAAGGGCAAATCGGTAAAGTAAGATTTTGTTTGTTCATCTTTGACTAAAGGAAGATAATAAGGTTGAGGTTTCTTTGTTGGAAAGATAATAAGCATTAGGTGTCTTGGTTTAATGGTAATTATGAAGTTTCATTAAGGGTAAATTGGTATTTTCCTAGTTTAATGAATTTAATATTCATTAAAGGTGAATTAAAGGCAAAGTTAGCATGAAAAA